CCAGGCGCCCTGAAGTCTATATTTTTAAAGAGAGCAATGCACTTTACCTTAAACTGGAACTGCACGACAAAATGAAGGCTTGTTCAGATTGCTTAAAAATGTCTCGGCTTACGTAACTTTTTAACACAGACCGATTCCCCAAGCCCTCAGTTATCTGGCCTAGGACTATTTGTTCCTTAACTAGGACTACTCAAAAGTTACCACAGGGATTAGTTTCTGAGTAGCTCACACTGTAAAACCATTGGCTTATTTTGCCACAAATAAAACTGTAGCCACGTTTTGGATTTAGATGTTTATACGGCCTGAAATCATTCCTTCCTAACTTCCTAAGTGAATCCTCTTCCATGGTCACTGTTTGAACTTTGGTGGGCCCTAAGCCATTTCCTCCAACCTCCTTCTATTCTTCAGCCTCTACCCTGTTCATATCTGTGCCCAAGATCTTATTAATGGAAGTAGAAGAAAAATGGGGAATGGCCAGATGTAGTCTAGCTCAGAACACTGACAAGGATTTAAGAATATCTGGATTCTGATCCCAGGGTTTTGGTCTGTTTGTTTGTCTGTTTTTCTATTTTTGTTTAAATTGTGGAATATACAGAATATGACATTTACCTTCTTAACCATTTTAGAATGTATAGTGCAGGAGCATTAAGATTGTTCAAACTGGGGGCACCTGGGTGGCTCAGCTGATTAAGTATCTCCCTTTGGCTCAGGTCATGATCCCACGGTCCTGGGATGGAGCCCTCGTTGGGCTCCCTGCTCAGCAGGGAGCCTGCTTCTCCCTCTCCTACTCCCCCTGCTTGTGTTCCCCCTCTCACTGTGTGTCTATCAAATAAATAAATAAAATCTTTTTTAAAAAATGGTTAAAAAAAAAAAACGATTCAAACTACACTGTGATCATCACCACCATCCAGCTCCAGAAACTCTTCCATTCTTCAAAACTGAAACTCCATGCCCCTTAAACACTAATTCCCTACACCCCCTCCCCTAGTCAAAAGCCAAAAAGCAAACACCATTTTGCTTTTTGTCTCTATAAGTGTGACTTTCTAGGCCATTCTTAATACTTCATAAAAGTGGAATCATACATTTTTCCTTTGGGGTTTGGCTGTTTTCATTAGGCATGCCTTAAAAGTTCATCGTGTTGTAACATGCCTCAAAATTTCCTTCCTTTTTAAGGGCGAATGATCGTCCACTGTATGCATATACCACATTTTGTTTATCCATTCATCTCTCGATGAACACTTGGACTGTTGCCACCTTTCAGATATTGTGAATAATGCTGCCATGAAGATTGGTGTACAAGTATCTGTTCAAGTCCCTGCTTTCAATTCTTCTGGCAACACATCCAGAAGTAGAATTTATAGGCCGTGTGGTAATTTTGTTTAATGTTTTGAGAAACTGCCTGCCATCTTGTTTTCCACAGTGGCTGCACCATCTTACCTTCCCATGAAAACTGCACAAGGGTTCTAATTTACTTGTTTAAGGTGCTGAATGGCCTTTGGTGAGTCATAATTTCTCTGGGCCTCAGTTTCCATATCTATAAAATGAGGGGATTAGAATGGACAATCTCTAAAGTTTCTTCTAGCAATAAAAAACTATATTGTTCTAATTAAATCAAGTAGCAATTAAAGCCAGAAAGCAGTCCGAATGGTTTATAAGCATGACTTGATACCTTAAACCTTCTTCCTAATACAATAAACAAAGTAAGCATTTTTCAAAGAAAAGGGCAAAAAATCTAAAAATCTTTTCATAGACCCAGCTGCCACTGATGACGGTAGTGGCCACCTCCTGAGCATCTCCTCTGCTGAACACTGTTCCAAATATTCCCCACACACTAGCTCATGCCCCACTTGCACAGATAAGGAAACGGAGGCATCACAGAATTACACTATGTGCCCAGGAGAACACAGCCAGAGAGCAAAGAGCCAAGATTTGCCCATGGGGACAGGTTCTTCACCACCAAACCTGGATGAAGCCTTTCCCCCTCAGTGTTTCTCCTCAAGTCCTGAGTATTCTTAACGGTTTTCTTTCTTTTTCCTTGATCACACTTCCATTTAAATGTCTCAGCCCTCTGCAAAGAATAGCTGAATTTCTTCTGCTATGGCATTTAGGCTTTTTATTTTTAGGCATAGAGGCTGAAATGTACAAAACTGTCCCAGAAATCCTCTGGGTGAATGCTTTTTAGTAATTTTATCTGATACCTTTTCAAGTGTTTTTCAGAAAATCACTTTTAAGGGACACTCCTTGAAGGAAGAAGAAACAGGATCCTTATAGTGTTCTGGATAATAATCTTATGACGTGGATTTTATTACCTTGATTTTGTAAGCAAAGACACTGAGATTCAGAGAGGTGTGGTAGCTTACCCAGGTCACTGAGCCAAAATAGAATAGAGCTGGGAGGTAAGCCTGTCACCAAGTGAAGCCCACGCTTCTTCCTACAGGGAAACACCCCACCAAGAACACAGAATGCCACTTAGGAAAATCACTGCAAGGTCAATGACATATCACAAATCAGGTGCTGTCTCTACCCAGTTGAGCAACCGGTGTCTGAAAGAAAAATAAAAGGAAGTGAAGAGGTTCACAGGTTCACCGGAGCAAATCTGCAAGGAGAGGGAACTCTGTCTCCAATGAAGATTAGACTCTCTTTGGGCACCAGAGGCTCTGTTTTCTCTTAGAGCAAAGATTGTGGAGGGAGGATATTATTGGATAACAAATATTCTAGTTACAAAACAACATATATATCAATCAAAGATATAGTATAAAGTAATTGGACTTATCTGGTTAAGAAGAAACCGTCTTAATAGTTCCATGTGGTTCTTAATCTTGCTGAGTACTAATTCTAGGTTTTATAGGGACTGGGTGAGGAAGAGTAAGATCGAGGTCCCAGATTTAGTTGGGAAAAACTCTCTCAAGAGGATTCTGAAATACTAGAATAAAGTTCAGGACTTCTAAAATTTTGAATAAAAAAATTAAGAGAAGGACATGTGAGTGATGGCTAACTCAAATGATAAGGTGACCTCAAGATTTCCACCATATTCTGACAAAAGGTAGGAGATATTTATCAGAGAAATGACCTGCATTGTTAACCCTACACAGAGAACATTAACATTTCTTGAGGCATAGACTGACTTATTTCCTACCCTTCATGATACTTAGCATAATGACATTTATATACCAAGCCAACGATGGACATTTCTTTATAGTTTGAACTAGTATTTTCACTTGAATTATAAACTCTGAGGTCTTTCTTGTAAAAATTAAAAATGCTACATGAGCTATAATAATTGAATTGAACACATATGCCATGAAAAACAATGAAAAACAAAGAAACAGTAACGACAGTGGCAGTTGTCAGCCACAGGGGGTTAGCTCACCTGAAGAGCCAGATTATGGACCACTGTACTGGAGAAGTAATAATGCAGCATAAGCCTGATCCTGTAGCATGATTAGGTTGTGTTAAAGTAGCTTAGGTCATCAGAGTTGGCTGGGGCCAACCTAGGTGAGTACAGTTCCCTTCCAGAAGTTCAGACGTTTCAGGGCACGAATCCACAGAGACAAGCCCTCCTTTGTCTTTTATTGATGAAATTATAAAAGCCACACAGTCTTTGTTTCCTGAGTCGAAAACTTCTACCAATGATACAAATCACTTGTTCTTGCGAAAACAGGCTAGGTAGGAGACATTTGGTAGACTCCAAAGTGACTTCACTTTTGTTTCTATAAGAGATCAGTGTTTCCTCAATATCAGGAGAGTTCTGGTACGTAGTCTTGAGAATCAAGTTACCAATTACAATTCACTTTGGCAATATTTGCCCGAGAAGGATTTCTATGATTATCTCACTTGTAGTGATAGGGAGAACTCTCAGGGACAATCATGCCTTTAGCCCCAGTACATGGTGACCTGCATACAAAATGTTCTTGAAATGGCACTGATTATGACTGAAGATTTCTAAAGAGAGATAAATCTCCAACAAGATAGCCAATATTTCCCAAATTTAGTTTTTGGTCTCAAATCACTGAAAAGGATAAAACTTGAGGAAAGTAATTCTTATCCCCTAGAAACTATCTGACAGAGAATGGATTATTCTGGTCTTTCCTTACTTGATGAATTGCCCTTTTATCATCTTTATTCCTCTATGCATCTTGTATGTGATAATACATGATTTGTGAATCCAACTAACGTGGTTATAGGAATGACAGAGATCACATGTGCTCTTTCATTTTCAACATAAAAGCATCAAATCCATGTTTCCTCCTCTCTTCAAAATAAGGCTTCCAGCACAGTACATGCATGCAAAAAAGACTTTTTATGATACATTAACCTCACTGCACCTGACTCCTGGGCCTGGCACCTCATTTATTATTCATTAGAATAATATGGACTCATGGGGTGCCTGGGTGTCTCAGTGGGTTAAAGCCTGCGTTTGGCTCAGGTCATGATCCCAGGGCCCTGGGATCAAGCCCTACATCCAGCTCTCTGCTCAGCAAGGAGCCTGCTTCCTCCTCTCTCTGTCTGCCTCTCTGCCTACTTGTTATCCCTGTCAAATAAATAAATAAAATCTTGAAAAAAAATAATAATATGGACCCAGAAGAGATCTGCAGAAGTCAGGAAAACCTCTCCTGGCCTCGCCCAGCACTAAGGGAAAGACCCCTTCAGCCCGGAAACACAGTCAATACCCAAACAAAGCAGGAATGGCATTCACCTGACCCAACCCCCTGGCATGTCCTGACCGTGTAAAGGGGGTGCACCACTTCACCTACGCTTCAGCCACAAGCTAAAAACACTAGATATTCAGCAAACAACGTTATCAGTGGCTCGCAGCTGGCCCAGAAAGAACTATTGCACCACAGAAGAAGACACTCTGGTTCTTTTCTTCTGCAGATTAAAACATATCCTGCAGTTAGCACTGGTTGCTCACCAGTGCAAGGTGCTAGAAGGACCCAAAGAAGCACGCACAGCCAGCTGGTTTGCCGTAGGCTGGAATTGGCTGGGTCAGGCACACTTACAGATTTCAGGATCCCTGTGGCATCTTCATGGAGCCATGTAGGGTAGACCACTTCATCATTCAGGATGGCCTCAAAGAGGTCATCTTCGTTCTCCGCCTCGAAGGGTGCGTGACCACAGAGCATCTCGTAGAGCAACACGCCCATCGCCCACCAATCTACCGCGGGTCCGTAGAGCATTTCCTGGAGGATCTGGGCAGAGGGGGCAATGGCAGAACATCTGATGAACGCATGTGTCCTGAATGACTAGGGAAAACAATGGATTGGGAAATAGGCTCCATTTCATCTCTAGAGAGTGATCTCTTTACTCTGTGGTTCAACTCAGAGGACTTTCCACCCAGGTCATCAAACATCTGTGGCCTGTTTCAGCCAAGGTAAAGGCAGGTACAGATCCAAAGCAGAGAGTGTTTGGGCACAGTGTCCCTGTAGAGGGACGAGGACATCGGCCTCACTCACTCGCATGGGGAAGACTGAGGGACTTGTCTTTACTTCACTAAGTGGGGCTGGGATCAAAGCACCAAGCAAGGACAACGAGAAAAATAAAGCTCTGTGAGTAGAGCACACCCTGTCCTCATTCAGGGTGAAGGCCTAAAGCCTCTGCAAGGTTTACACAAAATGTTGAACTCAAATCGTTATTTGTAGGAACCAAGGACATTTTCAGGCACCCTTCACCCCGTGAGGCATCAGGTGTCCGCTTTCAGCGCACCCACAGAGCTCAATGCACAGAGGCAGCCCGTGGCATTGATGCTCGGGATTCCCCAAGCTGCGCTCACCTCTGGAGCAATATAGTCCGGCGTGCCACAGAAGGTCGCCGTGGTGACTCCATTACAGATGCCCTCTTTGCACATTCCGAAGTCCGCCAGCTTACAGTGGCCCTCATGGTCCAACAGCACGTTGTCCAGTTTGAGATCTCTGAAAGAAAGAGTGAGCAACATATGTAGGATGGCCAGGCCCCACACCCCAATGGACTGGCTTGCGGGGTGAGTGATGAGACCACACCAAGCAAGCTTCCGGCATCCACCTCAAAGGAAACAAACTTCTCTGGGTTATCTTGGAAAAAGCTTTGGGTCAACTCTCAAAATTTGCCTCATGGTTCCTAGACGATGGTCCCATGTGAATAGGTCACCACGTCTAACAACCAAGAGGCGTGATGGTTCCCCCTCATGGCAGGGGGGTCTTCATGGTCGCTACAGGACCATCCTTCTGGAGCCTCACCCCTCCTCCCCCCGCCCCCCCGTGGGCTGTGGTGGGGCACCCATGGCTCTGTGTTCCTACCCCTGCTCTGGGAATCAAGTTCTGCTGGCCTGCTTGGCCTGAGGGAAAGACTGGTGTCTGTCCAGCCCGGGATCACATTTCAGCTCTGAGAAGGGAGGGGATGACCAAGCTGGCGGGACCAGTTTCCAAGCTATGCCCTGGGAGCTGACGAGTTGATACAGCCTGACCACACAGGTCTTACAGAGAGCGGTCACCAGAGACACCCAGGAATGAAAACAGAGTCCTGTTTTCTAGGAATCCCCGATAAGTGAGATAAAAGCAGAGGAGTTTTCCAGGCACACGTCAGTGGGGATGCAGAGCAGTCCTCCTCTCTGCTTGGGCACTCCTGGCAGCAGTCTCCCCAGGAGTAAGCAGTGTAAGCAGAGGTGTGCTGGGTCTCTGCGCGCCCACTGCAGAAAAGCAAGCTTTTTCCACCCTAAACCAAACCCGGCCTCATTCCCCACCTCCATACAAAATCCCACTTTCTAACAAGCAAATGTTTTCAGTGGGCTGTGATCCGTGGAAAGTTTCCCTCCACCACAGTCCCCACACAGCAGAAGCTAGATGTATGTAACCCATGGGAGGGAGGACTTGCGAGACACAGGGCGGCGGGTGGGATGACTGGGAGCCTGTACATGGGAGGGAGGCCACTTCCAGGAGCGTGGTCTTTCTCAGCTGTTCTTTCAGGAATGGTCACAGACCCTAGGCCCTATTAGCGTCTGCTTTTCTGGATCCTCAGGGACAGACAGCGCACATCAGAGGTGGTCAAGGTTAGAGATTACAGTCTGCCGCCCCAGGAGCGAGCAAGACTGTGGGGGATTGGAGTGAGCCCGCGGGTGGCCTCTGTCAGCACCATGTTCTAGCCCAGCCAGCCAGGCCCATGTGGACCTGCGCCCAGAGCCTGCTCTCCCACGTTGCCCAACAAGGTTATTGGGTCTCTGAATTCTCCTGAAGCTGTTAGCCTGCTGAGGGCTTGTAAAGGATTTTCTTTGGTAACAGAAAACAAGTGCTAACAGAAACCTACAACGGTCTCAAGAACTGACCTGTGATTGCTCAAGGGAGTTGGTGACTAACATCCCAAGTTCGAGGTTTAATTGAATATTACTCAGTTGCTGTCATGGGTAGCAGGAATTGTTCCGAGAGAGACGAGTGCCTGCGATCAGCGCTGTAAGCCACCCAGCACCGTGCCCTCTGCACAGAGAAGTCCGGGAACCCGGCCTCACGGCCTGGAAGACAGACCCGAGCATGCAGAGGGCGCGACACATCCCCATTACAGGAAGCCTGAGGCCACGGAGGGAGGTTATACACTTCAGTCCTGCCATTTCAGACTCATTTTTGGCATTCTTCAGAACTGTGTGAGGCCCAAGGGAAATGCCGTTGCTGGTTTCATACCAGGTACTATCTGACAGACAAAACTTCCACACCAGGCTCCCAAGGGGCCTCAATTAAGAGCATATTATAATCCCAGGCTACGAGTTCTGCCCTTTGTCCAAATGTCTCACACCTTCTCTTTAAATTCTGTCCTGATATCCCGGGATAGTCAACATTGTTCTTGGAGAACTCAGTTCATGCCTCTATGACGGTGCACCCGGCAGGCACTGTGTTCCAGAAGGCTCTGTCTGTGTACCTGTCTTTCCCCTTGCTGGAGCTAAAGCCTTCCTCCCCCTTCACTCTAGTGGGCCTGGCAGAAGGTGCTGACCAAAGAGATAAACAGAAGCATTTTATACAGACGACAGTGAGCTGTCCTAGCCAACTCAGAGCCTGTCTTATTTTTAGGGGAAGAAAGGAAGCTTCAAAAACCCCACTGGGATCCTTGTTCCAAAGTAATTAAACTTAGACAAAGGGATGTAATTTACCCCTTAGAGATGGATTCCAGAGGGAAAAGAAGAATCTTGAAATATAAGCTCAAATTCTTCACTTTGGTGAAGCTGGAGAAGGGAAACTACTTTCGGAAAGGCAATTATGGACCCAATCATAATACTTTGCTTGCAGCCAGATAAAAGAGTAAAATAGTGACCGGGTTAGTCAAATAGATCCAAAGGTTAAAGATCCATTCACGGCCACAGTCAGCTTCCTTTCTAAGGGTAATCATTTTTACTTAAAAAAAAAGCAAAAATCACCCATGACTATGACTTTGAAATAGGGAGAGGTCAGTTTTTGGCTTTGGAGTAGTTCCTCCACCTCCAATGCCAGCATGTAACTCAACAGCCAAACTTAACAAGGCTACACAATGAAGATCACAAGTTCATACAGGGCAGAGGCTCAGATCCCAAAATGCCAAATATACAATTATGGGCTCATCATTCATTAGCGGACTGAACACCAGTATTTCATAGCTCTAACTTCTGTCATACAAGCAGAGAAGGGTAGAGTTATTTTACACATTGTTGTTGCCGGGTAATCAGGGTTAAAATGCCCACAGTGGTTTCACAGAAGCATCCCAAGTAGTTGAGGACAAAGGAAATTCAGAAATTCTATTTATTGTGTTTCCGCCGTGAACTATTCTGAGAGTCATAAAACAGAATGACATGAGTCTTTCTGCTTAGATCACTGGAATCAGTGACTCTTCCAAAAGAAATAAAGGAAGGTGAGTTGAGAGCTGGCTCCTTGAATGAGAATGACTCTAAGAGACTACTCAGTAACTATTTTTAGTGGATTTGAAAATTTATCATGGAAAATTTCAAATCTACACAAACGTGCAGAAAATAGAACAACTCCCGTGATGAGTTGCATGCCCAATTTTGTTTGTGTATACCTTTACTCCTGATCTCATCCATCTTTCTTCAAGTTTTGAAGCAAACTGAAGACATAAAATCATCCCATCTATACTTTAATACCTGAATCTAAGAGACAATAATTCTTCAATAAAATATAACTTTGATATTGCTTATTATAAAACATACAGTCAATATACTATTACAAGTATATTGCTTTTTGTGTGCTTGTTTGGGTGGGTGTGTGCATGTGTCCAGGGAATCTGAAGAAAGATTCTCTTGGTAAGAACAACAGTATAATAGTAGCTACCATACACTGAATGCTCACCAGGTGGTAAGTGCTTTAACCATATTATTTTATCCTCATAGCAACCCTCTGAGCTAGGATCTACAGCAACATCATTTAGTTACCCAAGGGTAAATCCAGGATTCAAACTCAGTTCTGCTCATCTCCCTCCAAAGCATGGGGTCATCACCCCCTAGAGCAGGCAAATACACTCTCTTATATACTGGCTAATTGGAATAAGAACTACCCGAGAATCAGTAAGTATCCCAAGACTGAATTATGACAAAGGGACATTTTTGTGCACATCATTATAAAATGCATGATCAAAATTTTACCAAAAAAAATTTTTTTTTGCTTTGGTTTTTAGTTTGTGCATGGAGAGGGAATTCAATGGATTTTACCCAAACTTTGAATGTATGGGAGTAGTAATGTGCACACCAAATGTGTCTCTAGTGGTCAAATATTCAGAAGATAATTCACTACTCTCTCCTGAGGAGGAGAGGCCGGTGGGTGGGTAAGGGTGAAGAAGTAGATGAAAAGAATGAATTTAATATTATAATCACAATTTCACAACAAAACCATTTAGGGCTAGCTTGTATTTTGAATGTCTGGGTTTATATAAACTTGCAATTTCAAGGCAAGACTGATTGTGTTAAATTGGTAAAAGAATGTTGAGGGGTGCCTGGGTGGCTCAGTCAGTTAAGCATCCAAGTCTTAACTTCAGGTCAGGTCATGCTCTCAGCATTGTGAGATGGCCCCCCACAGGCTTCAAGCAGCTCCTGCTGGCTCTGCTCTGGGTGTGGAGCCTGCTTTAGATTCTCTCCCTCTCTTGAGCTCTTACATGCACTCTTTAAAAAAATGGTGAAACATCACTGAAATAGCAAAAGTCTAATATCTGATTTTATCATCAATTAGATAGAATGCCATTCATGTATTATTTAACCCAAGATATATTCAGCCATTCGCCCACCCCATAAATCTTAGAGGACCATCTCTGAGCCAAATAATATGTTAGGGGCTCAGAGTCCGGAATGAGACAGGAGATAGCAGGAACCTGATAAGGCAGGGGCCAGTCAAAATTCCAGTTTTTGGCCTAAGAAGAAAGAGAAACCATCAAGAAAGTTTTACACAGGAGATGGATAGCATTAACTTGTGATTTTACAATGAACCTCCAGCTACGACGTGGACGACAGGTTAGGGGGGGTTGAGAGAACTTGAGGAAACTAGCTGGAAAGCCACTGAAGTGTTCAGAAAAACAATGATGGTGTCCTGGAGCAGGGTAGGGCAGTAAGGCAGAGAGAACTAGATGGTCCCAGAATGATTAGGGGGTAAAAGTAAAGGGAGGTAGTAATGGAAGGATAGAGACAGTAAAAGGGAAGAAGGTGTGAGCATGTTCTGGGCATGTTCTGGCTCACAGAATTTGTTTTGGACATATTGAGCTATTTTTTAGACATCCAGGTGGAGACATTTAAAGGCAGCTGAATATACATGGCTAGAAGTCAGAGGAAAAGCTGGGCTGGAGATATAAATTTGAGAGTCATTAGCAGAGTGTGGATAAGTTCACCTGGGGAGAGGGAATGGAATGAGAAAGGTATCCTAAGGATAAGATCTCTGGTCTTTTTTACACTGGGTCCACAAATACCAGAGATAAATTAGAG